AAAAATCACAAATCACCACCTGCCTGTATGCTCTGTAAGTAGAGGGTTTATTCCTCCAACAGGCCGTATCACATCACATGTATGATGGCTACCAACTTTTTCAGACCTTACAGCCCAGAGCCACAGTGCTAAGAAAAGATTTTTATTGTAATGTTATGGTAAAGTCTAGGGCAGGATTCTCAGTGGTAGAGAAAGGATCACATATGGGTGTCATGCACAGCACATTCCTGAACACAGTGTGGTTAGAGTTCTGGGGTATTGTGTGGGGTTGGATATTTGCTCTTTCTCTCTCCTCATTGTTAGCTAAGGTTGTGGAAGGAAGATATTGGAGCTGGTTCTTAAGGAGGAAAATACTTTTTAGGTTGACATATTGCAAAAGAGATTTTCCAACGATAAACGTGACTTGTGGGAAGGCTGGAAGGTGTGGGTGGCTGCAACAGCAAAACTAGATGTCTGGAAGTGTTGTGTGAACTCGAGCGAAGTGCATGAGAGGCAAGAGAGGAGAAAGTTAAGGCCAGAGTCAGGGGAAATGTGTCACAGAACTTTAAACAGGGAAACGTGACAGGACAGAGCGTAAGTAACTGGCAGGCATTTTATAGTGGGATTACACAAGGGACCTTTTCCCTCTGTACAGGGGTAAGGTCGAGAATGGGCATTACAGCAAAAAGCCCTGGCTTGGGACTTGGAGTGTAGCTCAGAGGAAGTATAATTGCCCAGCAAGGACTTGAATTCCACACGCATCACACTTGCTTTTTGGAAACAATAAAAGTTTATGCTAACAAACATGTTTAGTAGGGAAGAAGTAGTGACAGGCATGAAGTGATCGTAATTTAACTAAAATAAAGGGCAAGTAGAAGTGTGGCAGCAGCACGTTTAACTAAAGGGAGAGGACATGAGAAAGAGACCAGGCAGTGGCTATCCAACACTGGTACCATCCTAGCTCAAACTGCTAACAGGCTCTCTGGTTAAGATGAATCTTTGGTTGACAGGACAAGGCAGTCAAGATAGATATTGATGTCAGCAGCCTTTATGAGCTTGGGTTGTTTCATAAGCCTGGAATGTAGCATGTTCATCAAGTATACAACCTCAGAGATAGATACCAGAGCCTGGGGGCCACCTTGAGCTCCACCCTTTGATCACAGGCTGCCATTGTGGGTCACATTCTAGAATGCTAGTGTGGAAGTCCCTAAAGAAAGAGCCAGTAAGACAAATGAGGGTTGACGACAGCAGAAAGGTGGCGGCAGCTCACACCCTGAAGTGGTCTGACCATTGACTCAGCCCCACAGCCGGGTCTCTGCACCTCTGCCCTAGTTGACAATGGAGAGATATACACAAATCCCCATGGAGGTTAGTGCCTTCTTTCTCTTTATGCTGTTGCTCTCAGACCATTTGCATTCACGTCCTTCCAAAAGGAAGAGGAGCTCCAGACAATGACGACCTAAAGTCACAGACCAAGATAGGGCAACAAAGAAGAGTGAAGACGCTTGGCCCTTTGATGCTTTTATGATTTGATGTCATATTATGGGGAGGTAGGGACTGAGCTCTCCGTTGAAAGGTGGAGATTTTGTTAAGGGTCCAGTTTTGACTCTGAATGTCATGCACATTGTGATGACAAAGCAGTTACTTTGCCCTGCTCCCCTTCCCACTTTAAAGTGTTCTTTTTTAAAAAACTCCATCATTTACAGCTCCATTTTTACTATTGTTCTGTTCTTCCTGTTTCAGCTCATTTTCCATCCCCTCAAACACACACGGCTGCTGACTACTGGCTAGGGATTGAGAGACTCCTGTGTTAAGGTCACATTGTATCTGAGTGTTTCCTGGGGTCTCATTCAGTGGCTCATCTGAGGCCCAAGTGGACTGTTTCAGCAAGATTTTATTAAAGGTTTGGGTGAAGCAGATGGAAGATTCTACTACTAGATGACCATAGTGACAAATTTGGGGGACTTTCTTGAACTGTGAAGCCTAACAAATAAGAGGACCTATTCCTTTCTCCCTCTGTTCTTTTTCCCTCCTGTATTTTTTCTCAATAGACAGAACATGGAGATGAGACACTGGTCCCTTTGAGTTCCCTTTCAGAATCCATTTCCTTCCTCAAGGAATGGAGGCTCTGAGACTGGCATACATTGCTTCTCTTCCAGTACCGTATTTGTTAAATATCGTAAACACAATTTGTGGTGTGCTGTGGAATGTGGGTGTGAATGATTTACTGCACACATAGTCTTCTCTAGCCTGCTCTTACTGGGCACTATGTTTTTAAGAATTTCTTGATGTTAATACTTAAACTGCTAGTTTACTCATTTTCATTTCATATATAAATAAATGATATATAAATTCATTTGATATGATCACCAATTGATCTACTAATTTCCCTGTTAATAGGGGCTGGGATTTTTTTTTTTTTTTTAATTTTTTGAGACAGGGTTTCTCTGTGTAGCTTTAGAGCCTTTCCTGGAACTTACTCTGTAGGCTGGCCTTGAACTCTCAGAGATCCGCCTACCTCTGCTTCCCGAGTGCTGAGATTAAAAGTGTGTGCTACCACCTCCTGACAGGGTCTGGTTTTTAAAAAATAAACATGATTGATGATTTTGTGTATAAACCATGTTTGAGAATTTCTTTAGATATACCTGACAGGAAGATTGTGACCAGGGATACATAATGAGATACTCTAAAAAAAAACAAAACAAAACACACACACACACACACACACACACACACACACACACCCCTCTGAGGGTACAGATGTTGTAGGTAGGCCCTTCTCAATACAACCAGAAATTACTAAACTCTTCTCTAGAGCAACTGTTCCAAATTACATCCACTAAGAATACGTGTGAGCTCTTACTGTTCTACATTCTTGTGTATGTCAAATAGCATTTCATGGATTTGCGTTTTGTACTTTTCTTATTGCTTGCTTTTTTGTTTGTTTGTTGGTTTGTTTGTTTTTTTTTCCTGAGACAGGGTTTCTCTGTGTAGCTTTGAAGCCTTTCCTGGAACTCACTCTGTAGCCCAGGCTGGCCTTGAACTCACAGAGATCCACCTGCCTCTGCCTCCCAAGTGCTGGGATTAAAAGGCTGAGCCACCACCGACCAGTCTTGTTTGCTTTCTTAATTTTCTAGGACAGGACTGTTTGTCATGAGCTGTTATGGACTGGTTGGATTTTGGTTTCATTGGTTAACATTCTGTCCAGAATATAGTCTTTCTAAGGCAGAAACAC